TTTCTTATGTATTCTGTTTGGTAGGATTAAAAGTTTAATCAGATGTGTTTGATGAGATTAAATACTTTGCGTGTGACATCAGAACTAAAGACGTGCCAAGGACAACAGTCTAATCCTAGAAACTGGAAAGGAGCCTGTTAGTGGACTTACTGCTGTGATGAGGACAATCATACGATGAATGTGACGGCCTCTGTTTGTCTCTGTGTTGCCTCCAGGACAACAGCGTGGTCCTCCAGAGCAGCGCCGTGGCCTACGTCAGTCTGAACTCTCCGGTCAGAGGAACAGAGACTCTGAGGGCCACAGCTTCTCCAACACTGCTGCAGCTCACCTCAGACATACAGAGGGTAACTATTAGCTCTACTCCTTCTGCCACGCCTGGTACTGATGCTCAAGTCACTTCAGATGTATGGTGTAAAGTAGATCTCTGCCTGCAGAACTCTCCCTTATGATACCATTATTAGCAGTGCTGTAGCTGCTAACTTCCCCCCGTCTCACTCATAGTTCCAGCACTGCTGCTGCTGTGACCATTGTTATCACTACTGTTAGTGTAATTCACCACAAATGTGACAACAACCGGTATCAGTCCTGCCTCTGACAAAGGATAAACACATTTTTTCTACCATGTCTACCACTACCATCAGAGCTAGCACTCAGCCAGGGGGTCACTGAACACGTATTCTCCCAAATGTCGCCCTAATTCGACTGTAAAGACTTTCACTACACTTGGTACCCATCTCCTGCAAGTGGTGTTTGAGATTCTGGAGGCCCCAGGATGAGACAGCCCATCAACTCCAACAAGCTCTAACCCAAAGAACGTCTACTCTAGTGCATTAAACTTAACACAAATGTTCTATTTACGTTCTGGAGTTCCTGTTTTACCAGCTTGAATTCTATGAGAATGACTTAAAAACATGACGTTGGGCTGATGACATGCCTCCATCAGTGACGTAATGCGTTCCATGTGACCCCAGCTGGTTATTCCAAGAAGTGTCATCGTCTTTATATGTGTGATTGGAGTTGACGGTAGTTTTTGTGCATCAGCGTGTCTTCTAAAGCCAAAGGAACAGCTCTGAAAACACTCTGGACATCACTGGTGTAATAAGTGTGTTTTGTTGCCTGATTGTCTCACAGCAGTGATGCAGATCAAGATCTGCCATCCAAGTGAACAGTGAGTACTTGTGATCAACATGCTGGATGTGGGAGGTGTAATTAACCGAGTCTTCATGGCCAGATGACTTGATTGGAGCATCTCTCAGATGGCAAGGCCTGTAGGTTGCAGACAAACAGAGAAACCATAAACCAGACTCAGGGCATTGGGGGATGTGCTTGAAGTGATCACAGATGGCTCCAGCTCACGACTTCCTGCTGAGGCCTTGATGCCACCTTCAGGAGTCCTTTAGCAGGTCGAACTGACTGCGTATTGGGCAGGACTGCTTTAGCTCGTTAACGTATACCAATACTGGAGATATTCTTACTACTACAACAATATTCTGTCATTTCTTGGCTCCTCTGTAGCTGCTCCTACTGCTATCAGTGTATTTCAGTTGTTACTGCAGCTCACTTTAAAGGGGAGCCTTCTTTCCAGTCAGCAACGACCTTTCCTGAACTGGTCACCAAGAATAAAAAGGATGCTCTCAGGACAGTCCTTTAAAGGGGATTTTGCAAATTATTAACTCTGAGAACTGGTCTCTTCCTTCTTACTGGGTTGGGAGGGAAGTCAGGTGCTCTCACACAGTCACTCTCATGATTTCTTCATTTTTTTGTACAGCTGGTGGCCTCCAGGTAGACAGACTTTCTAATTGGACCACCTTAACACACAAACATCAACTAATGGAGCTGAGAAAAGTGTAGCTGATCATAGAAAAGGTGATCGACCTCAATGTGTTGAAGACCCTTGGATGGGTTAATGAATAAAAGACGTCTTATGAGAGCATCAGCTTCACACCGTCCAGACAGATGTGTTTTTCTCTTTGGGTCCCACATCTGTCCTGATGTGGATGGGTGAACTGTTGTGGGTACTGGTGCCAGTTGGGGAAGGAAAACCTGCTGCTTCTTTGTGATAAAACCTCAGTAAATCCGCTTAATGAACACTAACACTGGTCATCCAGCGTTTTTTCTTTAGTAAATATATCAAGATATTAAAAGTGCAGCGAACAGAGAAAATAAACTGAGCTGATATCCGGTGTAACCAGCCCTCTCCCAGCTACTCTTGCGGATTAAAAGCTGCCTCGGTTCTTGTATTTTCATTTAGTTCCCGACTGACTCCACGATGCAGTTTCATGTTTTCACCATCTGATCTGTATCAGGTTGAGCCAACAAAAACATTTTTATTGTCGTCACCCTCAGTTATATTTCAGTCTCCTTTTTTTGTGATTTAGATTTTTCTGTCTTCTGAGCACATCAAGGCCACAGCTGTAGCGGTCTTTGTGTACGGTTGCCATGGTTGCACATGTTGCTCTCCTCCATGGCGAGGCTAATGGAAAAGGCTGCAGTGATGCAACAGAGTGCCTCTCCTCAGAAAGTCCACTTAATGAACATCAATTATATCATCCAACATTTGTTCTTTAGTAAACATATCAAGATATATGAAGAGGAAGTTTGAGATGGAGTGCTGTCATGATTCCTGGAACTGATTCGTGACGCGTTCTCATTGGAAAACACAGTGATTGGTTCGTTTGTCTGACTGTTTATCTGTTGACAAAAAAGGAAAAAAACATTTAATCACAGGTCCTGTCTTGAATCATTGCTTCTCTGCTTTTATTTTCGTGGGATTGTTTTGCTTGTCAGATAGTTTTTTAGGACTTTAGCTGCTTAGTGCTTGTTGTCACGGCGCAGAAGCGACCAATGAGAAACCCTCCTGATGATATTATGTGATTTAAACATCTAAGCGCTCACATGATGATGTTTTTACTGCTGTTTTTGCTGTAGCGACGGTTTAAGTTTGCTGTGATGTTCTCGACCTTCTTGGAAACACCCTGCCTGTTATTCCTCCACCAACGTCTTTATTTTCACTCCACTTCTTTCTCTGGAGGTGCTTCACACCCGGCCCGGCTTTTCCTTCATGTTCGCTCTCAATAACAAAATTGCATGACAACTGAAACAATGAAATGTCACCGCAAACACTTCTGCTGCTGCTTTGAGCGCGTCACCTGTTCTGTGAAAAGGGAGGAGGAGGATAGCGTCTTCGATCTAAATAAAACTGAACTCGCCCCATCCCACTCTTCACGTTCTCGTACAATCGGCCATTGTGGTGATTAAGTGCAGCCGCTCTATGATTCAGCCTCCCAAACTGTCTCTTTATTCCCACCCGGGGCTGTTTTGCAGATACGATCAGCCCTTGCAGACATCTTTTCTTCACCCCCAACTTCTACCATTTTCTTTAAACTTGGAAAACTTTTGAAAAAAAAGAAAAACATCATCATCACTCTCTCTGGTTTCCTTCCTCCACCACCACCTCCTCTTTTTGTTTTTCTTCTTCTCCCTTAAGCGCTACATCCCCCTCTCCCCACCTTGCTCACTCTCCTTCCATCACCTCTTAATCTCTTCTTTCATCAGCAGCAGCCTCGGCGTCTCCCCACCCTCTCATTTTCCTCATTAAAATCTCCCTCTCGCTTGTTCTCTACATTTTCTCTTTTGCCTCTTCAGCTTGTGCTCGTCTGTGTTTTTATTTGTCTTCAGGTTCGTCATCAAGACTCATCTTCCTGCCAAGTATCTCGGCAGGTACAGAAGGTCACGAATTGACAGATAGAGTACAATGTCCCTTATTTCCCTGCTCCGCCACGAGGTAATTAGCAGAAAAGGCCCAGTCCACCTGTCACATTCAGCTGTAATGAAGCTACAGACGGCTTCTGCCAAAGAAAAGAAGACTAGAGGACATTGGGAGGAAGGAACTTCTACTTTTGATGTTCTTTAATGAAATATCTTAACAAGAAAATGAAAAAAAAACTCAACAATGTGCTTCGTGTTGAAACCTTCCACGCTCAGAGCCACAGCTCCATCACTGTCCTCTTATAGGAACCTGGTTTATGCAAACCTTCTGCTCAGACGTCACTCCTCCTGGTCGTAAATCCCCGCGGGACATTGGTGCTGCTGTAAATACTGCAAAAGGAGGAAATTTACAGGAGCTTGTACACAGAACGCTCCGGTCTGATTGGCTTTCTCTTCATTGCCCAAGGACAATTTCTCACTCAACTCGACACTTTTTCAATCCAGATCCTGCTACCTTGAATGTAATTGCCTACATATTGCTCCATATGCCCGCTTCGATTTATGGGGCATCAGCCATACCTGTAAATATTACGGCGTTCTGTCTGAACGCTGGCCTCGCTCCTGAAAAGCAGACTTTTGGAAAATACACGAATGCAATCACAGCGAGAGGATTATTTCATTAACCGCTCGCATCAAACAGAGTTTAACGTCCCATGAGGACGGAGGCGACTTTATTCTCCGCCCCGGTTTGCATCTCCTCTCTATTATCACCGCTTTGCTTATCAAATCCAAAAGACGACTTGGTGGAAAAAGCAATATGTCGTTTTATCTTTGTCTGATCAGCGAGGAATCCCAGAAGGAGCAGGGCTTTGTTTGCATATAAGCAAAAGACTGACATTGTTTTTCTCATGACAGCATCATGGTGAACCTGCTAACAAACAGCTGCCTGCTGTGATGCACATCCAGCAGACACACGTCAACATTAGCATCGTGTTTGTCCACCTCGTATGCAAGTCCAGGATTTATTTACTTTTTGGAGAGCTGTTGAGTGGGAGTGAAAGCCAGCCACCTGAACTTAATGATGTGTGAAGGAGAGAGACAGCGCAGAGAAATGTGCAATCTTGTTTATGCTTTAAAACATCTACACCGATACCAATGCGCTACGAATGAAAACAACAGTGGAAAGTCTTGACTGTCCAATCAGAGAGCAGCCTCGGGTCACCTGCTTGCCTGAAGCTGAAGGATTCACCTTCAGCTGCTCCTCACATAGAAATTCATTCATAAATCAACCACATTTGGAAACTAAGCTTTAATAAATAATCATACTCATCAGGGTCCAGGTTTGACAGACTAAATGATAATAATCATTGGTCTTGTTTAGAATAATACTAGTTTATTAAAATGTCTTTTTTAACGTTCTGTTTGCACAAAAATTACAGTAAATAAGGCCTCCAATAGCGTCGGCCTGAATCAGAGACTTCACACATTTTGTTGTCTTGTTTCCTGCATGAAAAACCAACTATGTTAGGAAACAAACAAAACAATTCCTCTTTTCCTGCAGAACAAACTTCATCTAGTGAATAATTATTAGGATGATGTGCACACTAATTTGTGTGAGAGATGTTTCATAGAACAG